TTTCGACGGATCGCCAGTAGCCCAAGTAAAGGAAAGAATCAGTTATATTTTTCATATGATCTCATCTCCTTTTATGGATAGACTAATTATCCTTCTACAATTCCTATTTTTTTATTTTTTAGTTATTTCTTTTTTTATATGATATTTTTATTATATATAATAAAAATATCATTCTTTACTAAAAATTCATATTAATTATTAGTAATTATAAGTAATAATATGAATAGTAATAATATTCATTTAATAAGAATAATATTCTATACTCATTATATATATATATTCACTTAGCTATAATCACTAGAATTCATATATACTATTAAATTAATAAAATATAAGTAATTCATAATCATCGGGTTAGGATTGATCTAAACCGGCTCATTATGTCTATAGGATCCACCATGCCAACTATGAAACAACTTATTAGAAACACAAGACAGCCAATCCGAAATGTCACGAAATCCCCCGCTCTTCGGGGATGCCCTCAGCGCCGAGGGACATGTACCAAGGTGTATGTGTGACTCGTTTAGATCATTATACTAATAAAAAAAAAAAGAAACCCATTTTTTCAGTATTAGCGATCAGTTAAGATAGTGTGAATGGAAGAACTCCATTCACACTATCTTAACTTAAAAAAAAATCTATTAATAATATAAGCATTCTTCTATTATATATAAAATTTATGATTTCGATTAGTGTAAACCCAATCACCCCAATTTGCAATTTAAGATGAGAAACACTTTTCCATTGGTAACAAATGGTTACCCACTAAGCGGAGAAAATACTATTAAAGAAAAATTATGCCCCTAATTTATTTTGTAAAAACGGAATAAGAAGGTCAGTTACCCAGCTAATTTTCATACTTAAACACCGTTACTGTATAACTTGATTTCGTTGTAAAAAACTTATTACTAAATATTTCATGGGTAGAGCCAAAGAATGTGAACTGTACAAGTTAACAATAACATTGATTAAATAAGGATTAAATGAAAGAAGGGGCTCCGGTGTATAGAGAGGACCTAGTCGTTTAAAAAATAATCATAGAAACGATGGAACCCATTCTTTTTTTTTATCTATATCCTATTTAATTTACTATGTTTTTTGATACCTAGTATCAATACAATTTCTTATTTCAAAGTTAAATTAAATACTTAGAAAAAAATCGTGGTTGGGAAGGTTATAGTAGCAAAAGCCATTGGAATTTTTTTTTTATACATTGGAAGAATCCATCTTTGTTATTAATAGACTAGGAAGAAGAAAAGAATAACTGAAAGAAAAAAATGAAATTGTTATTCACCAAAGTCTCATTTACTCAATGACCAGAATTAAACGAGGATATATAGCTCGAAAACGGAGGACAAAAATTCATTTATTTACATCAAGCTTTCGCGGGGCTCATTCAAGACTTACTCGAACTATTCCTCAACAGAAAATTAAAGCTTTGGTTTCGGCTCATCGGGATAGAGATAGGAAAAAAAGAGATTTTCGCGGTTTATGGATTAGTCGAATAAATGCAGTAATTCGCGAGAATCCAAAAATATACTATATTTACAATAATTTAATCTATAATCTATACAAGAAGCAATTGCTTCTTAATCGTAAATTAGTTGCACAAATAGCTATATTAAAAGAGAATTGTCTTTTTATGATTGCCAACGAGCTCATATAAAGATAGTCTATAATCACTAGAATTCATATATACTTAGTATATATGAATTCTAGTGATTATAGCTAAGTGAATATATATATATATATAATGAGTATAGAATATAATAAATCAATAATAAAATGAAAATCGTAAATAATATTCTAATAAATAATAGAATCCAAAGTACAAATAGAATCTAATAATAAATAGAAAGAATGTAGAACTAAATAAATGGATTTCGTCTTCTATTTCTAGAAGAAACAAACATATGTATGATAATACACCTTTTTTTCATTCTTAGTATTCCTCTATTCAGGAGAAAAAAAGGCATTATCTTATTACAGAGATGGTGCGATTTGATTATCTCTATTTCAATTTTTTTTCGGTAAAAATTGAAAAAAAAAACCTACGTTTGCTGAAGGTGAAATTTGTAAATAAAACGATTAGTTCCTTCTGTCGTGTATCCCCGATTAATGCAGCCTCATATGCTTCAATTTTAGGTTTATAGTATTAAGCGAAAGGTTATACCTATACTTATAGGGGTTAGGTCAACCCTACTCTACTAGTACCAATGGGCGGCATGGGGGAAGAAGCACTACGCTTAGGAATCAACAACACGAAAACTTTGTAAAAAAAAAATATCTTTCCTTGTCTTATCGGGATAGAGATTAACAAGAATGGTTGGGACAATAAACATCCATCTTGTTCGTATTTTGGATACCCGTATAACCATCGAAGATTGTTGAAGTGATTAATTCCGAGAAATTAAGCAACGGTGAGGACAAAGAAATTGTTGAAGTTACTGTTTTTTTATCCAGTACCAACATATTTGTTGTTAAGAAAAAATCTTTTACAGGAGGGTTGGCTAGAGATTTGTTGTAAAAAAAAACACTAGCTCTGCTCAGTTGATAATGAGAATGGGCTTTAAGTTGGTAGAAAAAATCAGGCAGTACTCCCTACAATTCCGATCCAGAGTATGCTCCCATCCACTGATTAAATAAATGACTATCAGGAACGAAATAATCCTTTACTTTTGTTTTCATTAATTCACTTTTTTTTTTGAGTCCCGTTTTAGTTGCACAAAAAAAGGCTAGGAACGAAAGAAAAAGTGATACCCTTTTTCTTTTTTTTTCTTACATCTATATTCTAGGAAGATGGAATTCATGTCATAATTCAGAAAACAAATGTATAATTCTTTTTTGTAATCGAAAATGATGGAGAAGTTATTGAGAATTCTATAAAGAGTATTTTATTGAAGAATTCAGTTATTACTCAACAAATTCCAATTTTTTTTTTAAAGGGATAAGATCAATTCAGAAGTACTTTTTGTATCTTTTATTTATTCAAATAAAATTTGAAATGTATTTTTCTTTATTATTAATTTTTTCATTAAATAAAACAAAACAGACAGAATTCAATTGGTCTAATTTAGAACCGTCCGATAAAATCGAATCTTATCCATTTTATAAATATATCAAGAGATAAATAATCGGTCTGGTCCTTAGATTTATTGAAGGCTTAAAAGGAGTCGTATGAGGTGAAAAATCCACACCTAATCGTGAATAGTCAAGGCTCCCATAGCAATAACATATTTTGGTTCGGGCATTTGCTCGTATAATCGAACTAAAGAGGGAGCCATTTTCATAGTTACTGTGCCCGCTGTTAAAATTAAGTCTGCCTGTCTAGGACTCGATCGTGGTACTAATCCATAACGATCAAAGTCGAATCGTGATCCTATTAATGAAGCAAATTCAATGAAACAACAACTGGTACCATAAAGAAGCGGCCATAAACTGGATAGTCTTGACCAATTTGAAAGATCATTTAATGTAGTTGAAATAACTGAATTTTTGGTTGTTCGATCAAGTAAGGGAAACTCAATGGAATTCATAACTGTCTCAATGTTTTTTTTTATTGTCTAAATAGTCAAGAATTAAGACCATTCTAATGCCCCCTTTCGCCATGCATAAACTGAACCAACAATTAGGATAAGCACGAATATGAAAGCTTCTATAAATACGGATACTCCTAATACATCGAAACTCATTGCCCATGGATAAAGAAAAACTGTTTCAACATCAAAAACAACAAAAACGAGAGCAAACATATAATAACGGATTCGAAATTGTAACCAGGAATCGCCTATTGGTTCTATTCCCGATTCATAACTAGAAAGTTTCTCTGGTCTTTTGCTAATCGGGGCTAAAATTCCAGAAATTAGAAATGCCAAAATAGGAATAAAGCTTGATATTATTAGAAATGCCCAAAAAATATCATATTCGTAAAGCAGAAACATAAATGACTCCTATGAATGTGGAAAATATACTGGGTTAGTATTAATTATTAGTCGATTTAAATGAAAATTGGAGAATGATTATTCTATTAATGATTATTATAGTAATGAATATTTATAGAATAATAAATATGAAATATATTCTAAATAGAAATGCTTTTTCTAAAATAAAAAAAAAATTAAATTATTTCCAAAAAAAATGAGACTAAAGCCCCTAAAAATAAAGAAAACTAAAACATTACATTATAGGGAGGGGTCAAACTTCTTCTATTGGAAAAATATTATATCTTCTAATATATTAGAATGTATTATAAATATCTTAGATATTAGAATGTATTCTAAAGGACGGAGTGAATACAAATACAGACCAAACTAAGGATATTAAGCATAACAAACATTTTGTTCTTTCTTTAAAAAAATAAATTTAATTTTTGCTTTTTTTTTTAATTCTAATTTTCATTTTTAGAATATTGTATTATGTAATGTATATATGTATAATTTATATCAATATAATTATATATATTATAATATATATATAATTAGAATAATATTCTAATAAATAATATATATATATAATAGGAAGAATAGGGATATTGTTGATATTTGCATCTTGTATTTCATAAAAATTTGGGGCGATATAATCTTTACGTAAAGACCATCCTAGCCAACTTTCGGGCATTAAAATACGTTTCAGACGCGGATGATTATCATAAGAGATTCCCAACATATCATAAGATTCCTTTTCTTGAAAATCCGCACTTTTCCAAACCTAGAAAATCGAAGGAATTCTAGGATTTTTTCTTGCAACAAATACTTTTATGCATATCTCTTCGGGTTGATTTATACCATATTCTATTCTCGTAAGATGATACACACTAGCTAACAGTCCCCCTGGCGCTACATCATAGGCACATTGGGAACGTAGATAATTGTAACCATATACATATAAAATGACAGCAATGGAATGCCAATCTTCGGGCTTTATTTGTAAAGTCTCTATTCCTTGGTAATCGAAACCCAAAGATCTATGAATTAGTCCATGTTTGACTAGCCAAGCAGACAAACGACCTTGCATTTTTTGACTTCTCCTGTATTTTTTGTATAAGTTTGGTATTAGTTTTTCCCATTTACATTACGATACAATTTTTGAAAATGGAATTGCTATTTAATTTATTATTGTATTTTAAACAAAAGGATCCTGTCTAATTCACTGCTTTGTGGGAGGATACTGAATTTTTTTTTTTTTAATGTGTCAGAGGGTATCTCCAAAGTAGATGCCGGTTGATAGAATAATCCTTGACCGTAATTGCTAGTATAAGTACTGCATCCAACATGAAACTTGTGATTGGTAGTAAAACACCTATTCTCTCGTTGAGAACTCATTTTATCTTCATAGATTTCTCGAGATATTTTCTTACGAAGTTTTGTTATAGCATCTATGAAATCCAGATAGTCTAGTAGAAAGAAATCAAATCAATGGTATTTTTCGTAGAAATAGTATTCTTGCTTATTTCGATGATCCTCAATACCGAACGCAGAGTTCAGGAATTACAAAATATAGGACTATAGGAATAAATTCCATTTTTAAAAAAGAGGATTTTTTAATTGAGTATCAAGGAGTTAAAGAATTTAAGCCAAAATACCAAATCAAAGTAGATCGATTTTTTTTCATTCCCGAGGAAGTGCATATTTTACCCGAATCTTCTTCCATAATGATACGGAACAATAGTATCGTTGGAGTAGATACACCAATAACTTTAAATATAAGAAGTCGAGTAGGTGGATTGGTCCAAATGGAGAAGAAAAAAAAAAAGATTGAATTAAAAATATTTTTCGGGGATATCTATTTTACTGGAGAGATGGATGAGATATCCCGACACAGTGCCATCTTGATACCATCCGGAACGGTAAAACAAAATTCAAAGGAAGCAAAAAAAATGAAAAATTGGATCTATGTCCAATGGATCACAATTACCAAAAAAAAGTATTTTGTTTTGGTTTGACCCGTAATTCTATATGAAATAGCGGACGGTATCCATTTAGTAAAACTTTTTCCCCAAGATAGGTTCCAGGAAAGAAATGATCTGGAACTTAAAGTTATTAATTATATTCTTTCTGGAAATGGAAAATCAATTCCGGGAATTTCTAATACAAGGATTCTATTAGTTCGGACTTGTTTAGTCTTGAATTGGGATCAAGACAAAACAAGTTCTTCTATCGAAAATGCCCACGCTTCTTTTGTTCAAGTAAGTACAAATGGTTTGATTAGGGATTTCCTAAGAATTGACTTAGTGAAATCTCATATTTCATATATCAGAAAAAGAAATGATCCGTCCAGTTCAGGATTGATCTCAGATAATGAGTCGGATCGGACCTTTATCAATCCATTTTTTTCTATTTATTCGAAGGCAAAAATTCAACAATCACTTAGACAAAATCACGGAACTATTCGTATGTTGTTGAATAGAAATGAGAAATGTCGATCTTTGATAATTTTGTCATCATCTAATTGTTTTCAAATAGGACCATTCAACGATAGAAAATATTACAATGGGATAAAAGAAGGAATTCAAAAAATTCAAATAGATTCCATAATTCCAATTAAGAATTTGTTTGGTCCTTTAGGAATAGCCCTTCAAGTTGCAAATTATTATTCATCAAGATGATATTATGAGTTATTAAACGAAAAAATGAATCTCATTATGGCATTAAGATTTAGAATAAATAATATTAATCGATTTGATAATTCAGATATTGTTATTCATGATATTGATACGATTTGACATCATTAAAATTTTATACCATTGAATTTACCGACGAAAGATTTATCATCTCTATGGGATTAAATCCCGAATTTTTTATTGGAAATTGAAGAGAAATAAAACATAGAGATTATGGAAGTAAATATTCTCGCATTTATTGCTACTGCATTGTTCATTCTAGTTCCTACTGCAGTAAGAATACGCAATGGTGGGAAGGGGGGTTGACAATTTTCTCTATGAGTATTTAAATATGTAAATGCAGACATATTCGTTTATCACCCAAGGACCCATTCGTAACAACTTTACTCCCAATTTTTTCTGCTTTTTCGTTGGGACTGGTTCTTGTTTGTATATCTTTAGTCTATATTTTATCAAACTCCCATTTTGTAGCTGCATCGCAGCTACTTATTTACGTGGGCGCTATAAATGTTTTAATCATATTTGCTGTAATGTTCATGAATAGGTCAGAATATTACCAAGATTTTCGTCTTTGGACCATTGGGGATGGAATTACTTTGATGGTTTGTACAAGTATTTTTGTTTCACTAATAACTACTATTCCAGATACATCATGGTACGGGATTATTTGGACTGTGAGACCAAATCAGATTATAGAACAAGATTTTATAAGTACTAGTCAACAAATTGGAATTCATTTATCAACAGATTTTTTTCTTCCATCTCTTAATTTCTATTCTATTAGTATTTTCTATTAGTATTAGGTTAGTATTAGTTAGTGATCTCGGCTCAACGAGTCCTTTCTTTTGTGATGAACTGTTGGCACCAGTCTTACATTTTGT